AGCAGGTGCAGGGGTGAGCAGGAGGGGTGGCTCGGATGGGGCGGGGCCTTGGGCTTGCTTGGTGGATGGAGCACAGGGCAGCTGTGGTGGAAGGGGGTGGGTGGATGAGCTGGCTTTTGACTGGCTTGAGTCTGGGGTATACGTGGGCTTCTGGGAGCAAGTCCAGGAAGCAGCTGGAAATGGGGTTTTACAGAAAAGGAAGCAGAAGGTCAGAAATGTTGTTTTTGCCAACCATCTCAAAGCTGGGAAGAGGCCATGTCAGGATTTGAACCCAGGTCTTACAAGCCAGCTAACATAAAGCACTTTAGGGCCAGGGATGTATCTCAGAGGCACAGAGCCTGCCCAGCAAGTGCAAGGCCCTGAGTTCGATTCCCAGTACAAAAAAAAAAGAATTTATGGGCTGGGGATTTAGCTCAGTGGTTCCAATGCCTGCCTCATAAGTGAAAGGTCCTGAGTTCAATCCCTGGTACCAAAATAAGTAAATAAAATAAAATAAAGTACCTTATCCCTTGGGGTCCCTGACTCTGGGCTCAGCTGTGTAAGTCAGGAGTCAGGTTGTTCTTGGGGAGTCTTGAAGCCATTCCATGCTGCTGAGCCCAGCAATCACAGGGGTCCTGCCAACAGTGTCTTCAAGCCCAAACTTCTGCTTAGTAGAAGGCCCCTCTCCACCCAGCCCCAGCCTTCCGGTCACGTGGCTTCCCTGCTCCCCCCCCCCCCAGAGATGTAAGAGCCCTGACCACCGCTGTCATCTGGGCACGGACTGTGCAGTCCCAGTGCCAGGCACTTCTTCGACCTCTTTACTCTGCACCCACACAGTAGCCTCGAGGGCAGTATGACTTTTCAGCACAGACCAGAGAACCGATGAGACTTCCAGGTGCTGAGGGGAGGAGAAGAAGGTTCAGCCCTTCTCTGGGGTGGGGGCTGTGCGGGTGTGTGGGGTGGGGGCCTGATAGTTCTCTGCACCCCACTTGGAAACCAAGGCTTCCCTGAGGGACCCCAGCCCCTACGGCATCCCCCCTCTGGCCCGACTTCAGGTCTGCAGTTCCAGCTTCCAGGATGTTCCCAGCCCTCCCCAGCCACTCGGCTCCTCATGGCCACCTCTCTTGGGAACAGCCAGGCCCAACCTGCCCCCTCCCGGGCTGTGCTCCTGGCAGCTCTGCCACCCGGGCTCTGGTCCGGGGGTGGTCCCTGGCAGAGAGGGAGGTAGGCAGAAGCTGGGATCGGTGGGGCTGAGATGCTGGGCATCCAGAGACCTCCAGGCCCCACCTCATAGCTCGTTGCGCACCAAGCTGGGTGGGCAGGTCTTTCTGGAAAGAGGTGGCTTGAGGTTTTAATCATTTTATCAATGTTTGTTTGTGTAATTCAGCCCTGAGATGCTTTTCCCCCCATCTGTCCCCACCATCTGCTCCCATCAGGATTTTCCAAACTGTTTGGGACCCAAGAGGCACCAGAGTGGAGGGTGGACTGGGTCTCTGAGAGGGCTGGGGAAGGGCCACCTACTTGACTGAGAGGCTTCCAAGGAGGGGCTGGGGCTCCTGAGTTGCACAGAGCTGAGTTCAGTTTCTGACTCTCACTTTCTTGCCATTGTACCCCAGGTAGGGAACTTCAATCCTCTGAGCCTCAGGCTCCACATCTGTAAAATGGCAGCAGCATTAGTGATTCCTCAGGTTCACTGAGGACCAAATGAGGCAGTCCATGTAGAGTCATTCTGCCTAAATAGGCGCTCAAGTGCTCAAGAGACGTGTGGCCCCCTCTGTCTTTGGCCTCACATGTGCACCCAGAGAACCTACATCCTGGGAGCTGGTCTGTCTCTGCTGGTAGAGGAGGGTGGCTTCCCTTGCCTCACTTTTCAGATCCTTGGACTTGCTCACTCTCCTGTGGACCCTGCCTGCTGCTCTCTTTCAGTCAGCCTCCTCCACTTCCCTGAAGCTGGGCTTCCCCTCCCTGCGGGCCTCAGACTGAGGTGAGAGGGGGCTGGGCATCTTCAGCCAGGACCCTCTTGCCCCTCAAACTCATGCAACAGGCCTTCAAAGAAGAAAGCCTGAGGCTCCAAGATCCTGGCGCCTCATCTTTCTATGCCTGTGTCACTTGGCTAATCTCTCTGCTCAGAAAGGGGAATAGACTTGCTCCGGGTCTCCCTGCAGGGAGGGACGACCCTCTGCCCCTCCCTTCTGAACTGTACCTCAAGGCACTGGGTTTTGGCCCACCGGCCTTGGTGCGGGATGTGGGGAACTCCCAGAGTTCTCTTTTGGCTCAGTGCCTCCTCCCTGCTTCTCAGCCCCTGGGGGAGGTGGCAAGTTCACCTCCTCATTCCAGGTGCAAGGACAGTCAATGGGAATGGGAGCCCAGGGTGAGGAGAAGACAGTCCTCCCTTCACAAGCCCCATCTACTGGGGAGACAGGGTGCAGGTGAGGCCCAGAGGACACGCTCCAGAGTCATCCTCACAGAAAAGAACAGTGGCTGGAACAGGGATTTAGCTCAGTGGTTCCTCTGCCTACCTCAAAATCGCAAGGTCCCGAGTTCAATCCCCAGTACAACAACAACAACGACAACAACAACAACAAAAAACAGTGTCGGAGCCAGCTGAGCCAGGGAATCAGCCTGTGGGAGGCAGGAAGTAGGGGTAAACTGTCGGGAGCAATGCTACATAATTTTAGGGAAAAATCATTTGGTTAGCCTAGTTCTCCTGCCTACAGCCCAGCTGTGGAATTCCGAGACATAACTCCATTTTGGCCTCTGGTCACAACTGAGACCTCAATGATCCGGTGATGCTGTGATTCTCCAGGACAAGAAACATCCTGGGAGCTGAAAACATCCTGGGAGGATCAAAACATCCACTCAGTTCCTCATTATTCTTGGACCTTTACCATCTTGTTTACGGGGATGTACTGAACTCTCTGCAAGCCATTTGTTACCTTTGTTTCTCCCGATGTACTGAATAAAAGGTTCAGTAAGCTGGGGGCTTTTGTCTTTGCTGCCCTGAGCAGCACTGATCAGACCCAAAGCTCAGCTTCTTCTCAGTCTCATTTTCTACCTTTCCTGTAATTCGCCGTGTGCTGCTGTGGCTCGCAGGAGACCAGGACTCACTGCAGAGGTTCTGGTAACGTCCCCTTCCCCTGTTCCCTACAGTAAACTGAGTCCCCTTCTCCCCTAGAAGGATGGAAAGGATTCAGACCAATCTGGGAAGATTCTAGCTTCAGGCAGGAGAGAGAGGAGGGAGTCACAGGGGAAGGAAAGGTTGAGAAAGTGACCACAGGGCAGGCCACTCTCCCTGTCCCAAGCATGACAGACCCTCTAGGCCCCCTGAGGAGAGCAGAGAGAGGCTGTCAAGGGAGAGTCTGGGGTGGGGGGTGCAGCAGCTCTCTGCTCCCCACCTGTGGGTCCTCATTCAGGAGGCAGCTGGGAACCACCCACAAGCGTCTGTCGTCTCTCACGCCTCCACGGGGGTCCCAACACCAGAGCCAAGGCACACAGAGGAGATACTGTTCCAGAGGGCCCAGCTGTCCCTGCCCCACCGGGTCTGACTCCCTAGTTCTTCCAGTGGAGAACTCCTACCGGCCCCCAAGCGGGAGGGGTGAAGGCGACACACTCAGAAGGCCTAGACTGGTCTAAACCCTGGGGAGCCAGGAGGGTCTGAATTATAGAACCTGAAAGAACATAACTGGGCGGAGCTTTCCAGGCAGGTGGCAAATGCTCTTAGCTCTATCCACCTTCTCAGGAGGTCCAGGGACCAGACTCACCTCTGCCACCCTGACCATTTCTCACCCTGAAATGCCCCCTTGCTCCCATTCTTGCCTCCCACTCCTCAATGTTTGTTCTTGACATAATGTCCCCAGTGAGCTCCAGACATGGAAGTCAGACCCTCTTACTCTGCTCAAAGCCCCAGCCCATCACACCTGGAATAGAATATAAGGCCTTGGCATGGTCCCCAAGGCTCTTAATCTGCCACCATCTCAACCTTTTCCCAAATGATTGATGTAAAGCACTACAGACTTGACTTGTTTGTTATGTCCATTGTTTTTGGCCACACCAGTAACCCTGTTAGCTAGAACACTGCTGGGTAAAGAATACACACTCGATAAATATTTGTGGAATAAATGAACGAGGGCACATGGATTTAAGTCCAAGCCCCTGCCTCACCAGCTGTGAGACACTAGAAAAATCATTTAAACCCCTTGAGCCTCAATTTCCTCATCTGTAAAGTGGGACAGTAAGGACCACATCCTAGAGATAGAGAAGGGACAAAATTTAAGCCCAGGATGTGGGGATTGTGCCAAGGCTGGAGGAAGGAGGATGCGGCCCCCTTACACCGGGGAGGAGCTGTGAAGGGCCGGCGACTCTGGAGAGAAGCTGACCTTCCCGTAGGCAGGGACATCTGCATCTGGGAACCCCAGCTGGAGGGACTCTCCTCCCTCCACAGGTCACAAGCCTGACCTGGCAGGGGGGCAGGGGAGGAGCCCGTGTTTCCAGGTAGGGAGGGGTGGGCGATGAGACCCAGGGTAGTAGGTCGGAGGGCAGGCCTCTAGGTGGAGGTGGATAGAGGCGTGTCTGGCCGCCCCAACGCCTAGGGACTGAGGGATGGGCCCTGCCCTCTCCCAGCAGAGCCCCCAGCTCAGTTGGTTCCGGAGTTGAAGCACGTAGGCAGGGAAGGAAGGTACCCATCCAACCACCCAGGATCCAGATTCCGCCCTCGGAGCGACGTGCGGCCCGGCGCCCAGGTAGGCATGGCGGAGAAAAGGGGTGGCGCGGCCGGGGATTGTCCACGGTTTGGGAAGGAGCTCTCGGCACCGACCCGCCCCTCCACTCAGGCTTCTGCAGTGGAGACGCTGGGGAGAGGGGGGTCGGGTCCTCCGCCCCCATCGGGATGCTTCCTCGAGATGGGGGCACGGGAAGCGAGGGCGGGGGCGGAGCCTAGCGCACCGCTCCCCCCACCCGCGGGTGGAGGGGACCCCCCCAGGGGAGGGGTTCCGGGCTAAGGCTGCGGGGCGTCTCCTTCGCAGTCCCGCCCGCCCTCCGGCCGCCTCTGCCGCCGCGCGCCGCAGCAGCGCCGCCTTCCCTGCGCAGTCGGTGTCTCGGCTTCGCTGGGTGAGTGGGGGCGCCCCGACCGGGGCTGAGATATGCGGGGAGGGACAGCCCCGGAGCCAGGGGCCGCTTCCAGGGCTCCTCGACCCTGCGGCTCCCCGCGCCTCCGGGGCTTCCTCCCTTCCCGAGTGCAGGGAACGGGGGCTCCCCCGGGGCACTCGTGGCGCTCTCCAGGGTCCTGACCGCTGTGTGGCCGGCCCGGGGGAGCCTCTGCTAGGCCGCCCCGGAGCGCCCCCTCCCGGAAGGGTCAGGCGCCGGACGCTCCCTGAGCGCTGGAAGAATTGAGGCGGGGGCTCAGCGTAGAGCTGGGGGAGGCTTAGAGTGGGTACCTGGGGAGGGTTTCTCAGGTCGAGCTGTGAGGTTCTTTCTATTTTGGGGTCTGGGAGTCTTTGCGGGGACAACAGAATCTTTTCCAACTGGGAGGGGCAACTCCGAGGGTGGCAGGGAGGAGGGGGCCCTGGAGAAACTCTTCTCCTGCCCAGAACATCTCTCTGCCCCCGCCCCAATGACCCAGTTCTTGGACCTTGAGGAGGGGAGTAAGAGGCACATTCCCCTGCTCAGCGCAACACATTTCCTCCGTCCCTTCCCACACGCTTGCTCTGAGGGTCCTCGCCTGGGGCAGAAGAGGCTGATCTAGAAAGGAGGGGGTACCAACTTACAGAAACATGCATGTGACACACTGCTGAGGACACGCACAGCTACATTTCCCTTCACACTGTGACGGGTGCATACCTGGTCACATGCACATATAAATCATTTGCACGGCCATGGATGGAAACACACAGACAAATGTAATGCAGAACCCAGGACACACAATATGCATGAGCACATGCATTATCATACATGTGCCCGCCCACAGGTGCACACGGAACCCCCTCGTCCCCTCCCCACGTTCAGGGGAGGGCTCACCTGCACACACCCCTCCGTCTCTGCCCAGAACTGCCTGCTGCCCCTCTCCATTGCCTTTCCTTTGGCCTCACAGTCAATCCCCTACCCTAGGAGACCATTCAGGACTAGATAAAAGGAGAATGTTGGGGGAGCATTGGATAGGCTGGGGTGTCTCCCTGGAAAAGAGGCCCCCAGCAGGTCTGGGAAGGGCTGCAGCTCCCTCTCCTGGGACCTGATAACACCCCTGGAAAAAAAAAAAAAGGAAAATGACAAGGGTGTCTGAAGGTCCCACGTGCAGCTGGCCATGTGAGATGGGTTGGCATGTGAGTTGGCATGTGGTGGCATGTATGAGACATGTGGGGCTGTGGGCTGGTATGTCTCGGTGCACAAGGTATGGCAGTTGTGCATGGTGCCAAGTGTCAGTACCTGCGAGATGTGTGTGGAGGCATGGTGACCCATGAGTGGTATGGGCTGGCAGCATGGGATCCAGAGCATGGATTTGGTGAGCTGTGTAACATAATATGTCAGGACAGACTTATTTGCATACTGTTTTACAGGATATCTGTGACACTTGTGCACATGTAAATATTATTTATGTAACATGTATGTAGCGCTTATTGATGTAGGCATAGTTCTCAGTGTTGCACATGAGCTAATTTACCCCCCAACAATCCTGTGAGGGAAGTGCTATTATTATCCCCACTCTACGGATGAGGTAGCAAGAGCTTAGGGAACTTGCCCAAGGTCACATAGCTGGTAAGAAACAGAGCTGGGATTCAAATCCCAGTGACCTGGCCTGGAACCCAGAGTAACATTGATCCTGGCCTCTTCTTGTCAGGCACGCTTGTTGGAGACAAAAGGGCTATGTGCAGGCTGCAGATGTATTCTGTGGTGAGCGGGCATGGAAGCAAGGAGAGGGCAGGGGTAGGAAGGAGGACTAGAAGGCCTTTCTGTACCTGCCTAAGCAACTTGGGGAGTCAGCCCTGTCACGCAATGGCTGTGTGACCATGCACTCCTCTGAGCCTGCCTTATTATCTGCAAAATGGGGCTAATCCCATGCTCCCCCTTATGAGGGCCAAAAGGTGTGCACTTCTGAAGGCTTAGTGGCTGGCCCCGAGGAGGGCCTTCATAAATGTAGCTTTCCTTCCTCCTCCAGTTCTGCTCCTGGGAAATGGTGTAGAGCAGGTCTCAGAGGCAGAATGCCTGACTGCAGGCAGTGACATTGGGCCAGTTCCTCTTTGGCTGTGTCAAAAGAGGTTGGGGTGGCTGGTGTCCCGGGCCCCTTCTGGAGTGGTGTCAAGGGGGCAGGAGGGCCTGACTGCTCCTCTCTGTCCCTTGACCCTCTGGGGGACCCAGGTGGGACTTGGCTTTGTGGTCATGGGCAAGCAGAACAGCAAACTTCGGCCAGAGATGCTGCAGGACCTGCGGGAGAACACAGAGTTCTCGGAGCTGGAGCTGCAGGAGTGGTACAAGGGCTTCCTCAAGGACTGCCCCACGGGCATCCTCAACGTGGACGAGTTCAAGAAAATCTATGCCAACTTCTTCCCCTACGGTGATGCCTCCAAGTTCGCCGAGCACGTCTTCCGCACTTTTGACACCAACAGTGATGGGACCATCGACTTTCGGGAGTTCATCATTGCGCTGAGTGTGACCTCCCGTGGCCGCCTGGAGCAGAAGCTCATGTGGGCCTTCAGCATGTACGACCTGGATGGCAATGGCTACATCAGCCGAGAGGAGATGCTGGAGATTGTGCAGGTGGGCACAGGCAGGCCCAGGCAGGCCCAGGCAGGCCCAGGCTTCCCCTTACCACCCCTTTCAGCCCCTCAGCAGACATGGAGGGCAAGTAGTGGCAGAAGCTACTTTCACAATCCCATTGATACTCTGTGTACCCCTACCCCGGAATCACCAATTAACATTTTGCTTTCTCTTTATGTGCGTGCAATGCTTTCTTGTTGTTCTGAACATTGTCCCTTTAACCTTAGGTAAAGAATGTGTTTCCTAAGATAAGAATAAGGACATTCTCTTACATAATGTATAATATGATTAGCCTTGTCAGGACATTTAACATAGAAATGATGCTATTATCTAATCTATAGACCATATTCCAGTCTTGCCAACTGTTTCCATAATATTCCCTAGTGGCTGGGCGTGGTGGTGCATGCCTGTAATCCCAGCACTTGGGAGGCTGAGACAGGAAGATTTCTGCCAGCTCAAGGCCAGCCTGGGCTACATAGTGAGTTCAATGCCAACCTGAACTACACAGTGAGACCCTGTCTCAAAAAACAAAAAAGAAAACAATATTTTCTAGAGTATTTTTTTCCGTGGCCTAGAATCATGCACTCATGTCTCCTTAGTTCCCTTGAATCTGGAATAGTTTTTCAGGCAAGTCTTTCATGACATGACATTTGTGTAGCATACAGGACAGCCGTGTCTTATTGAGCCTCGTTTACTCAGGAGGAAACATGCTTAGAGAGGTCAAGGCACTTGCTTGAGGCCACACAGGACCAGCTGGCTCTAATGCCCACATTGCATCTGGATACTTAGCCACTTTCCAATACAGGGACCATCAACAGCCGCTAGTGAGTGAGGTGCTCTATACCCATGAACTCTGCTTCCTTACTGGAACTCCACAAGGCTCAGCGAGGTGGAGGGACTGGCCCAAAGTCACACAGTACTTAAGTGGAATCAGGCTTAGGCTGGCCTCCACCCAGAGCTGTCTTTTGTGAGGCTCTGAACTCCTAGCTAGGAGTTCTGGCTCCCAGTTTTGGAGTTGGTCTTAACTCCTAGGTTGCCCATCTGATATGACAAGATTTAGGGACCTGATATGTGTGCCCTTTTGAGTATAAACTTAAGTGTGATACACATTAGCTTTATTTGTAAAAGTCTCCCAGAACACTCATCAGCCTACACTGAAGGTGGTCAGGGCCTTGGCTCTCTTTGAGCTATCTAGTTCCTTGTTTCCCCTAAGTCCTTTTTTTTTTGAGAGTAGGAAAAAATTTATTGGGAGAAAGAAAGCTTCTGCCTAAGAGAGACAGAAGAGGGACCAGAAAGTGAGTTGCCCACCTAAGTCTTTATTTACAGCTTTCTTCACAGCAATGTGTGCGTGTGTGGGGTGCATGTCAAGCCCCTACTTCCCAGGCTATGGCAGGGACAAAGTGGAATGGAGGTTCTAGCATAGGGTCCAGCATGTACTTGGTCCTCAGTAAGCATTAGCGACTGTTAGTCATTATTTCTCCTCCACACATCCTCTGTTTTAGCCAGGATGGCCTTTCCAGCATCCCTGATATGTTCTCTGGGCAAAGCTGCTGCACACTTTCGTGAGCCCTAGGCCCACTCTTTCTGTTTCTCTGAATCTTTTCCCATGCAGTCCCTCAATTCTGCAGGCTGCTCCCCCTTCCATCCCATCCAGCCCCAAGTGGACTTTGACTTTGGCCTCTCTTGCTAAGGGTGTGGATCCAGGCTGTCCAGTTTGAGCGGAATGGCTGCCTTGGCAAGTGATGCCCTTCCTGTGCCTACTTCCTCAGTGTTGCTGATTGCTGGGGGCCAGGCATTAACTCCCAGTTGCTGGATGGTGGGGACCTTTGTGGGTCCTGATGCAAGGGTCAAGGCAGGCTGGGTGGGGAAGCACTGGAGAATCAGCTTCGTACCAACCACTCCAAGGGAGGCTCATGCTCTAACCACTGAACATAAGTGGTTGCACTGTGTGTGCTGCTAACTCAGTCCTGCTGCAGCCATCACACCCTGTGCAGGAGGCAAGCCAGCCCCATTCCTTGGCATCCTCAGGACCCCTTTCTGGCTGGTCCAGCTACAAGGCTTTGGCTTCTGTTGTAGGAGACACAGGCCTCAGACAGTGGGTGCAGACAGCTCTGCAAACCCCAGTGTCTGATTAATGACAAGTAGGCTCCAGTGAACTATGAGCAGGCAGACAATTCCAGACAATTAATTAGGAGGCCCAGGAGAAGGATTGTTGCAGGGAGCCTGGTCACTCTGTAAGTCATTGCTCAGTCCTCTTCGGTACCCAGTCCAGTGCCAGGTGGTGGACACAACGGGAGGGAAGAGACTGTGCCTCCTGGGGCTCCCACCCTGGGGGCAGAGATCACTGTGTGGACACTGACCAGCTCAGTGACAGCAGGTGACATCTAGGAGCCTGGGAGACTGACAGATGGGGTAAACTGAGGACATGGTGGATGAATAATGTCTATTATATGAGGCGCTATTTAATGAACACTTACTATAGCCAGCCACTATTCCAGCTTTTATATCTCATTTAATCCTCTAGAAAATCCTAATGAGGGAGAAACAGTTATTCCCATTTTACAGATGGAAACTGAGGCTCACAGAAGTTAAATACTTGTCCAAGGCTACACTGCAAGTGAGTAATGGACCAGGATGCTACTGCAGGTCCATCTTACATCAAAGCCCACACTGCCCAAGCATCCATCCAGCAGCTATGAGGGAGCAGGTTCAAATCTGATTTTTGAAGAAAAATAAATCTGATCTCTACCATCCATTCCTTTCCTGAGCTTTGGTTTCTTATCTGGAAAGTGAAGACTTTCAGAGTTGTTGTGAAATTTAGAATAATGCATGTAAAGGACCTGGCACATTGTAGTTCTCTGATAAATGGTAGCTAATAGTGTTATTCCAGGCAAAGATTGTGAATGCTGGGAAATCTGAAGGGTCCAGGGTGTTTGGCTGTGGTAGATTTACTCCTCAGGGGAGGGTGATAGTGGCGAAGTCAGAAAGGGCAAACTGTGAAGTGTCTAGAATACCAAGGACCAAATGATTCGGACTTGGTACAGAATACGGTGGGAGGCACCAATGGCCTTTAAATGGGGCAGTGCCTGCCAGGTGCCAAGCACCGGACTAGGTTCTGAGGATGTGGGCACTAGCTAGTGTCCCAGGTTCTTATCTATACAGTAGGGACTAGGCATAGACCTATAGACACATAATTACTTCCTGAGAGGTGTCCTCCCAGGAAAAGCCCCAGAGGCTCTGTGCTGCGTGTGTCCCGACTCAGCCTGGGTCAGAGAAGGCCTCACTAAGAAAGCACTGTGTATACCGAGCCTCAAGGAGGAGTGGGAGGCAGCAGAAGGAGCGTGGGGCAGCATCCAGAAGGAGCTGGGTGCACGGCGGCCTGGAGGGAGGCCTGCGTGTGACGGAAGGAAGTGAGGGGGTGGCCAGCTGGACCGGGAAGTGGCAGGGGAGATCTGTGTTTGGAAAGATCTTTAGAGGCACTGTGGGGACAGACCCGAAGGAAAGAGGCCAGAAAAGAGAGCACAGAGGCATAGGCTGGCCCTTAGGCAGGGGAAGTTTGCGGGGGTGGAAGAAGGGAGACTTTTTGGAGGTGTCAGTCTGGAAAGCTGGGAAGTTGAGACCAGTGGGGTCCTGGAGTCCGGAACGCAGAGACCCAGCCTATCCGTCCCATGGGCCAAGCACAAGGTGCTCTGTACATTTAGCACGACAATCCTCCTTCGCCTCGCCTCAGGAGCTCCTGCACGTGGCAGCTGCCGCCCTCAGCCCAGCAGAGCTCAGGCTGTCCCTACCCGTCGGCAGATGCTCATTTGCATTCGTTTGCATAATGTTCCCGCCCCTTGGGCCCCCAGCTGCCTCAACGTGGCCCTGCGCCCCCTGCGGGCCACAGAGGGCAACGCGGTCCAGTGCCACCCCTCGGCCTGGGGCCCCCCAGTCAGCCACCGAGGGCGGGTTGCGAAGGGCCTGGGTGATTCTGAGGAGTGGCGCTAGCTCGAAACCCACAAACCTGTGTCCCAGGTGCAAGCGCTGAAGCCCAGCGCTCTAGGCCCTTGGCCATCTGGGCCTCGAAGTCCTCCAACCTCCCTTCTGATTCCCAAACCCTCCAGTTCATGGCGCCTGTTCGGAGCTTTCACGCAGCGTTACCTTTGTGCATGCAGCTCCCTCAGCTAGCAATTCCTTCCCCACCTAGCCCTCCAAGGACCTCGGCTAGGGCCTGCTCCAATAGCTCCCTCTTCTGGAAAGCCTCCCCCGGGCCCCCTGCTCTCTAAGCCCTCGGGACCCCCTCCACCTCGCCCGGTCAGGCAGGAGCACCCCAGGAACGTTCCGAGTCTGGGGATGGGAACTCTTCTCACTCCCTGCCTTCCCTCCCGACCCCCAGGCCATTTACAAGATGGTTTCGTCCGTGATGAAGATGCCGGAGGACGAGTCGACCCCGGAAAAGAGGACTGAGAAGATCTTCCGCCAGATGGACACCAACAACGACGGTGAGGGGGCAGGGACGGGGCAGGGCGGTCGGGCGGCGCCCCCTCCTTCCCTCTGCGCTCCACCTCCCCGCTCCCCGCGGCCGCTGTCCCTCATCACAGACCCCCTCGTCCCGCAGGCAAGTTGTCCCTGGAGGAGTTCATCCGTGGGGCAAAGAGCGACCCGTCCATCGTGCGCCTGCTGCAGTGCGATCCCAGCAGCGCCTCCCAGTTCTGAGGAGAGGAGCCAGACTCCCTCATCCCTGCCTTCACCGGTCCCACCTGGCTCTCAGCTTCCTCTCCCTTGTGTCTATCCAGGCTGGGGGCCAGACTGGGGGCCCGCCCCCGCGGGTCTGCACTGTGGGGGCCTCTGGAGCAGGGACCCTGTAAGGAAGGCACCCGAAAGCAAGCTGGTAGCATTCCCCTTCGGCAGTGGCAGAGACAGGCTCCGGCCTGTCTGCCCCTCAGAGTCACGCAGCCATCTCCCACCCACCCACAGCCCTGAGGCCAGACCCCTCCCCAGCTGCCGCAGAAGGCTCGCCTCTTGTCCGGCTCAGCCTGGGGGGCAGTGGAGAGTCACGCTCAGGTGACTTGAGCCAGTCTTTTCACTTGGAGGGGAGAGGACGATTCCAGGGCTGTGGGGGTTTGAGAAAGGAGCTTCCTTGAGCCCCCCTTCCCTGCAGAAGGCCCCCACCCTGCCTGCCCCAGCTCTGGCTGGCCTGGAGGCCGTGACACAAATGGAAACTGCCCGGGATCCCAGCTGCCGGCCATGGGTCCTGTGAACCTGCCTGCCTTTTGCACTCAGATGGACACAGCCAGCTGCACAGACCACGGATTTACTCCTCTGTATTGGCCTCTCTCTCTCTCTCTCTCACACACACACACACACACACACACACACACAAACATGCAGAGCCTCTCTACAGCGTCCTGTGTGGGAAAGAAGTGCAGGCCCCTGGCCGAGCCCCATCCCCACCCTGCATGCAGCCACATGGAGCATCTTTGTTCTTTTTAATAACTTCTGAATAAAGTTTCGTTTCAGTGCAGTGGGCTAGGTGGCTGGGGCCGGGAGTTGAAACCCCACTCCTGGGTCCCCAAGGTCCATTGAGCCCTCTTGGGCTGGCTCCAGGGATTCTGGGGCCATCCGGGCACCAGTTGAAGTGCAGGCTTGGTTGCAGGCCCAGCAGCCATGGCCCTGGATGAGGCATCGCTCTCAGAGGGTCAGCGGCACAGAGCTGGTGCAGCTGATCAGGTCGTGGCCCTCCACAGGCTCTGGGCTCTCCTGCATCTGTGGACACACAGCAGGCTGCTGCCACTGGGTCTGGGCTGGGTCTCCTTCAGGACACTCTGGGAATGGGGTAAAGGGTGGGGAGGGGTCACTACCCCCAGGGCAAGAGCCAGACCAGACCCCTGGAGCATCCCTCCATGCCTTTCCTTTTAGTTCTGGGGAGATTGGGCCTCATACAGGCGGGTAGTGCAGACCAACCTGGGCTCTCCAGCAAGGACTCCCAGGTAATGGGGAGTCAGGACTGTGGCAGGGACTTACGGTGTGGTGGCTGCTTTTCCCCCACCAGGGCCTCAGTTCCAGCACCTGGTGGGCAAGCTGGATGCAGCGCACGGCAAACACACTCTCCGTTACACACAGCACGAGTGAGATGCCCCAAAGGCACAGGCTGGAGCTCTGCAGGGCACAGGGGGCAGAGATGGAGACCTGGGGCTGGGGCTGGAGGCAGGACTCCCCAGGCCCTCCCCACTCCAAGAGCTGTGGTCCCCCCATCCCAGGCTGAGGGACTCACATAAACGCGTGTGGGGTCAAAAGGGCAGTCGGGCGTGAGCGCCAGCAGGTCAGGGTTCCCAAAAGTGCAGACAGCTAGCAGTGCCCGGCCCTGGGTGGCAAAGGTCACTGCGATCGAGGCCAAGAGGCCAAGTGCACAGGTCAGAGAGAGAAGAGCACAGGCCACACCGGAGCTAAACACTGTCCAGCGCTGGATAAGAGAGGCCACCGGTCAGTGAATGTCAGGCTTGACCCTGGGGCCACTCCAGCCTCCCTGATGGTCAACTGTACCTCCCCACGCCCTTAAGTCCAGGCCCAGGGTGGTGGCTGGTGCCCTAACTTTACAGCCCCACCCCAGAAAGTGCCACATACCAGAGCGGTGCTGGGGAGGTAGCGTGACAACACGATGGCTGCAATGCCAGAGGAGATGACCTGTGGGGGAGGCTCGGTCAACTCTGACCCCCGTGCTGGAGCACAGCAGGGGTCAGGATCACCCTCGGATAGACTCCTCCAATGCCACCTTTCCCCACCCTCAGCGTAGGCCTCGTTACCTCCATCTGTGCAGAGGCATTGCCCCTTCAGGGTCCAGCCTTGAGCATTGTTTCTAAAACACAGTCATTCCTTGCCTGCAATCTTCCATGACTCCTCACTGCCTACAGCTGAGTTTGGAACAGGGAATCTGTGTATGCCAGGTCTGCAGGGTCATGCTGGGGTATATAGGATACATGTGACATACCTCCTTGAAATGGAAAAGACTGGAAAAAACTAAGGAGCTCAAGTGGCAGGGAGCTAAAACCAAAGTTATTATATTAAAATAACCAAGGGAACTTTATGGAATAGAATTCAAAATCCCTAGGAGACTTGAAGTTATTCCAGGTTCTCAGTGAGCTGGGGCCACTCCTATGGGCTGCTCTGCCCTCTGGGCCACTGTCCTTCCTCATTGCCCTCACATGGACATCTGTGTGGAGCCTGCTTCTGATGCTGCTGGGAACACCCTCCCTGCTCCTTCTCTGTGAAAACCCTGCCCTCGGTCCCAAGACACAGGACCCCTGGGGCACTGGCCAGTCTCCTCCTCAGGTTCTCTTGCTTTAACAGGTGTGACATCACAGGGCTCCAGCAACAGCTGGACAGCCACCTCAGTGCTTCAACCTCTCTGGGCTAAGCCTTCCCCTGCAGGATGAGCTGGCTTTTAAAGCCTCAGACCTAAACAGGTGCAAATAGGTTTGGCTTCTTTGTATCAGTAGGAGGTTGGTATATCCAGTCTTGGTTTCCTCCTTTGTGAAGTGTTGCCAGGAGAGTTTACTCGCCCTGAGTAAAAGAGGGTGAAGGTGAAGCAGTCCAGCCCAGAGCCCATCCCTTTGGCCTTCTCGAACCTGGGCTCACTGCCTTCCCTGCCTTCCTCGTGCAGCTGCTAGGAGAAACAAACAACCATGACACCAAGGCCACTGCAGGCACCTGCATGGCCCTGTGCCACTGGTGGATCCGCTCCTCCTTGTATGGCCGGGAGGCAGTAGGCCTCTGAGCTTCGCTTTGCAGGCAGAGACAGGCATGGAGAAGCCTGTAGAGGAGGCACAGATGGAACTCAGACACTGATGTGTCCCCCAAGGTTGTGGCCGCCTCTTCGACAGTCAGGAAAGGACTTTGTAAATCTGTGAATGCCAGGCCCCTTCATTTCTCTGGTTATCAAACGGGCTCACAGCCAAGCAGAACATGGCTACCATTTATTGAGCAGTTGCTATAGAACAGGTGTAATGCTAAGCTCCTGCCGGCTGGTTTTCTGAGTATCTCTAGAACAGATCTTAGCCATTCCCACCTCCACACCTTTGCACGTGCCATACTCCATGCACAGAATGCCAGCCCAGCTCCCTTCCTAACTGCAAGCCCAAGTACACCACAATTACTAATTGGGTTAATAATTGCAGCCCATCTGTGAACTCCTACTCATCCATCAATACCCAGCTCAGAGACTCTGTGAACTCCTCCCGGACCTTCCCAAGCTGCCCTGATGTTCCTTCCTTCTGTCCAAGGGTGCCTTGAGTATTTTTCTACAGCAATAATGACCCCAACTCACAGCAGTGCTCGCTAACCATGTGCTAAACACCTCAGTGGGTGATCTCATCAGGACTTGCCAGGACCCTCCGAGGTGGCATTCTTACCATCCTCATTTCATAGATGGGAGACTGAGGCCAAGGGTTGGTAAGTGGTGTCGCAGGGGTTGGTGCTTGGAGCTCCCTGCTAACCCACCCAAGTGCTGGTGGGAACTCAAAGACCTTTCAAGCCCCTCCTCCCGCCAGCCACCCTCCTAGGCTGGCCGTACCACAATGGCAGAAGTGACGGACACGATGTTGACCACACAGTACTGCAGAGCCACCGCATCATGGGGAGCAGTCACATAGCGCAGCACGGTGCCATGGAGGATGGCAGCTGCAATGAAGCTCACGTGGCCCAGTACCACCAGCACTAGGCCTGTCTTCATTAGCACTTTCTGGAAGTCATCCACACTCACACCACCTGTGGGGAGAGCCATGTCAGAGCCAGGGCAGGGTCAGCCTGCTCAGCTCTGGGGAGCAATGGACACTGGGTCCCATTTCTAGATGACCTGGGGCCAGTAACTTGTCTTCTCTGAGTCTGTTTCTTCCTCCTTTGTGAGCGTCTTTGGGACTCTGAGGATGGAAAAGCACAGAGGTGGTAATAAGAAGTAGTTGCCCTTGTTAGTGCTCAAGGTCATGTGCAGCAGGGGTCTAGCTCAGGTCTCTAGCTCCAGAATCCATGACCCTTTCACAGTCAGTCTCCCCATTCATTTATCGATCCATCCATCCATTCATTCATGTGTTCATTACACGAATGTTCATTGAGTACCTCCTCTGAGCCAAGCAAGCCCTGAGGTACCAGGGTGAGCTTGACAGTCGCTGTCAAGTCCCCAAGGAGCCCACGGCCCATTGGGCAGGGATCAGGGCCATTTTGGTATTCAGTTTGGTAGATAGGACCTAGCACACACCAGGTACTCAACTTAGTTGCAGAACTGAACTGTCTAGAGTCTGGTGACTCAGGGCAACTCACTCAGGCCCCTGAGTCTCCATTTGCCCACCTGTAAAATGGGAAGAAGAACCTGTGTCTCATGGGGAAGGAGGTCCATGAAGTGGATGAGAAAGTAGGTCAAATTCTGGGGGAATGTGGCAAAGCAAGCTTCTAGTGCAGGGGGCATTAAGTGGGGCTGAGACAGTGGGGAAGGCTGGGATGGAAGGCAAATTCGAAGTGGCCCTTGTCATCCTGTCCCAGGGACAGGGAGTCCCCCTCCTCAGGCAGACAGGCTGTTCCAGAGCTGCTCTCTGCAATTCCACAACAGGTCCTGGCCCTGCCCTCAAGGACACACACACTGTGCTGGACCCTGGCCTGCCACTCCCTCACTCAGGCAGCTGCATGGGACTGGAAGATGTTGGCCCAGCCAGAGCTGCATGGCCCCTCTTCCTCAAACTGCCTTCAAGGAATCTGACTTTGAGTCCTGTCCTAGGCTTCGGTCTCCCTACCTGTGACAGAGAGGGTTGAACAAATTTTTTACATGTAGAGGGCATGGCAGCTAAAATTTAAAAACCAGAAAGAAAGAAAAAAAGAAGGAAAAGAAAAGAAAGACGAAATGGAGAAAAGCAATCACTAGACTGGATGTGCTCAGGGACCCTGTGCCAAGAGGCAATCCCAGGAGGCAGGGAGGCAGGGGGCCACTGAGTCACAGATGCTCTTTGCGACCTGGCACCAGCTCCTCCCCTCCCTGGTCCCAGATTCCCCAGGTATAAAACAGGCAGGGGGCTGGGGGTGTGGCTCAGTGGTGGAGCAGCTTTGTGAGGCCCTGGGTTCCAGGGCCTCTGGCACCACAAACAAAACAAAACAAGACAAAAAGCAGGTAAGGGCTGGGCTAGCTGGGCTCAAGACACCACTGAGGCTGGCAGGGCCCTCTGGGCTGGACCAAGTGGAGAAAGAGGGCAGGTGATGGGCTGGACAGGCACAGTGGAACTGGAGTGGCCCAAGCCAAACAGGAAGGGGCATGGCCCTTCGTTCTCCCTCCACCCACCTACTTGGCAACCTAGCAGCTGAGGTCTGGGCTGGATAACAGGAGCATCCCCGGCCTAAGAGTCTGTCAAACAGGAGGCTCAGTGGCAGCTTGGGGGCAGTTCCTGGCTTTATTTCCAGCTCAGATTCTGGGAGCTTTTAGTACTGTGGATGGCACAGTGCTTAGCACTTTACTCTCAGGAGATAACTTCATCCTGGTAAATAAGTGCTAGGTGGTGGGTGCTACGATCACCATTTACAGATAAGGAAACTGAGGCCCACAGATCTCTTGGCCAAAGAGTGAGGACTCCAAGAATAGCATCATGGTGCCCCAGGAGTTGGGAGAGGGAGGCAAACCAGTCTGTGTCCTGATCCAATTCACCGCGGCCCTTCCCTCGGAAGTGGGAGCCTTTGGCAAGGCTGAGGGGCTTTGGCCCTGGGCCCTGGTCCCCCTGCCCTCTGCTCCCACTCTGGTGACAGCTCTCTCCAGCACGTCATGTCCCACCTGGGGGTCTTGCCCCTCAGCAAGAAAGTGGAGCCATACCAAGAAGCTCCCCGGCAGCCCTCCTCCCTCCATCTCACTGCTGGGGAAACTAAGGCCGGGAGAGGAAAGTGACCCGCCCGAGGCCAGGAAGTGACTTAGAGGAGGAGCAGGCGGCCCGGACCTCGGGTCCGCTCCCGCTGTAGCGCTGCTTCCCCCAGGAGGCTCTGGGCCTCAGTGCCGCCCCGCAGCTCACCGAGGCGCGCACACATGTCGCTCCCGCGCGGGCGGCCGCGGCCGGCGTCAGTTAGATCCTTGAGGCTGCCGGCCCTCCGGGGACTCCGCGCCCATTCTCGTGGCCCGTCGTCTGCGCGCCCACTGCCCGCTCGGGCAGACTCTGCGGCCCGGCCCGCCTCCCTTCCCGGCACCCCCCGGCGCCCAGCCTCCTACGCCCGGGGCGCGCAGCGGCCGGTCCGACCGGCTGGGCAGCCTTGGCCCGAGCGATGGGCTGAGTCACAGCGCCGCCCCTCCCCGCGCTCCGGCCCACCCTGCTGCTGTTTGCCCATTTGACGGATGGAAACTGAGGCTCGGAGGAGTTGGGATCGCCTGGGCCAGGGAACAAGACAGGGCTGAGCTTGGTGGGCAGCTGGGTGGAGAAGCCCCCAGGAGGAAGCCTGAGAACGGGAAGGGGCAGCTGTGGGTGGTGAAAGAGCGCTGCCTGCGGGACCGGGGTCTGTCCTTGACTGCTGTGTGTCCTCAGCCAGACGCTTTCCCTCCCTGGCCTGGCCTTCCTTTTACTGGGCTAAGGACATACCTTGGCCGGCTGGCCTTGTCTTCTGCCCTGAGCAGGGTGCTTTACCCCTCTGTCTTGGGCCAGTCTCTGTTCCCTTCTTGGAAAATCAGGCTGAATTCCTGTCCCTCAAGGTCATGTGAAACAAGATGAGACACAGAAGATTAGAAACTGCCATGGAAATTCCTAGAGTGTCTTCACGGACAGTGTAGGCCCAGCAGGATGCATGGTAGGGAGCTGAGCTGAGCCCCTTTAATGTGCCAGGATGAGCAGCGCAGCCCTTTGCTCCTCCTCAGCATCCTCGCCTAGGAGATACTGCTCCAGCCATCACCTAAGACCACCCAGGTAGAAGTGGTACAGTAAGCAAGAACCTGGATTCCCAGCCAAGTCTTGGTGCCCAAATGATCACTTCAACATGGCCTCTTGGGGGCCGGGGATTTAGCTCAGTGGTTTCACTGCCTGCTTCAAAAGCGCAAGGACCCAAGTTCAATCCCCATTACCAAAGAAAAACAAAAAACCCCTCCAAAAACAAAAAACGGCCTCTTGGTGGCTGCCTCCCTGGTCTTTGGAATCCACTTCGGGGAGGTACTGACTGCCTTCCCAGACTGCACCCCTGTCCCAGGGTCAGTGGCCTTGAAGCCAGGGGCTGGCCCAATATCTCCAGGTTCTCAGACCCAGCCCGCCACACAGGTGTCCAGTGAATGTGTGCTTTCTACACGCCCATAGTGACATCTGCTGTGTGCCTGTTGAGTGAGACTAGCATGCCTGGAGCAGCACATGGAGCTTCCGGAGTTTGGAAAAGACCTACACACTGGGGAGGGAGGGGAGCCCCCAGATGTCAGTGACCGCCACAGTCATGAAGGCCAGTCTGGTAACCCCTCAGCAGACAGGCTTCCTGCCATCTGCTATCCAGAGGGGACAGTGTGCAGTGGGTGCAGTTTGGGAGACTTGTCAGGTAGGTGGAAGGGGAGATTCAGGCTGGTGCCTCCTTGGCTGGCACTTTAAAGCTGGTGTCCATGGGGACAGGCAGTACTTTTCCATATTGTAAATGGTCACACACTTGTAATTATGGCCCAGCAGCTGCATTTCCAGGTCTTTATCTTACACAGTGAAGATTGCACAGAGATGAGCTTTACAGACAGTAGAGCTGTTCCCAACTTCAATCAACAGAACCAGAGCAATAACCAAGGTGGTGCAGGTCTGCAGGAGGGAAAGGGAAGGATTTGCTTTTTGTTTTACATGTGGCTGTAGTGTTGGAGTCTTGCAAGGAACATTTACTCATATCTTGCTTTTGTTAAAAAGGCGGAACGACTCCCTCACCACCGCCTTGTCCCCTTCACCATCAGCTATCTGAGGGCACAGCCACCTCCCAGGGGCTGCGTGGAGAGCGTGTGGGCCACCGAAAAGCTGACACCAAGCTCAGGCCTGCATGTGCGCATAGTTTCTCACCAGTTCGTGTCAGGCATCCCCTTGACTCCAACCTGGGACCTCCTGGAATTGGGCTGGCTGCTGGATCTCTTAATGCCTTTGCTTCAAGATGCTGAATCTCTCTTTCTGTCCCTGGAACAGCACCAAGAGTTAAAGATAATCACCCCCTATCACAGATAAGAACATTGAGGTCCAGAAAGGGAAAGGAGTTTTCCACAATCACAGTATTTGTCAGTGGTGGAGCTAAGACTTGAACCAGGCCCGTCTGAGGGGGAAGGCAGCTCCTGAGTTCTGAGTGTGTGGTGAAGGGAGGTGAGAAGAGCCACGACCTTTGTCCAAATAGTGCCTGTTCTCTGGGGCCTCTGAGGCAGAAAAACTGACCCACCTGCTTCCCTCCAGCCAATTATTTGCTGGCCATCAGCCAACGTGAAGTTATAGCCACTTCTTGTCCTTATTGCTATGGTAGGGACCAAAGTTCATCAGTCCCCGTCATCCCACACACTGCCCCACCTCCGCACAATGGCTTGAGGAATTCCTCTAGAAATAACTCCAGGCCAGATGTCTAGTTCCTTGTCTTCCCTAATGCACTGTGACATTTGGGCAGCTCCCTGGCATTCCCCAGGCCTCAGTTTCCCTATCTATCTTATGGGGATAATTGTTTTCCAGGGTTGCTGGGTTTCTGAGGTGTTAATGGTTTGAGAGATGTGAAAGTGGGCTCAAAACTTGCCAGAGAAATACAAGAGTAATTCCCTTGTTTCCTTGAATGTTTAATGAGCAGGTGTGGCCCAGTGTGCTTAAGCCCGGAGTTGGGTCTTTCCAGGGCACAGCTTTCCCCATCTCCCATGATCTGCTCAGGCTTCCAGTCCCTGTACAACTCCTCCCTATTTTAAAAAGGTTCCCACATCCTCAGTGTAAGAAGAGCTACTCCATGTGGATGCCACTGTCACACACATGCACCAGGTTGTTTTCTGTTATGTATGCACATGGACCAAAAGCTAAAACCAACTGGCCATGCTTCTCTGAGAGAAGAGGGGGGGTTAAAGGGTGCTTTAACTATGGCCCAAAGCCTTCGCTTTTAGTTTTTTAAAAAGCAAATGTGAATTGTTTACAACTGTAAATTTTGGATGGGATCGATAGGGATATTTGTTGCATTTTCTTTTATATTTCTAAAAAAAAGCTCCTTGTAGAAAACTTGGGGGGAAATACAGGAAAGCATAAAGAAGAAATCAGAACTACCCATAATCCTGTGTCCTTTCACAGATAAGCACCACTCACGTGGTGGAGTGTGTGTGTGTGTGTGTGTGCGCGTGCCCGCGCCTGTGTTCTAGGTGCACCTCTTGTTTCCTCTTCCTTCTCCAAGACTTCTGCCACGTGGCTCTACTCTGTTGCCCCTCCTTATCACCTTCATCTTCACTGTCCCTGTTCCCTTTCTTCATCCATCCAGGGCTTGCATTTTCATTCTAATATTCTGCTCATACGCACCTTCCTGACCTCCTCAGCTGCCTCCCTCAGGACTCCTGCCACCCCTTCGGGGGCATGTCCCGAGTGCCCCCTGGAGCCCCAGCCCGAGCATGGCACAGAGGCCTCTGGCAGCCCCGTCCACCGGCCCCTTCCGGTCTTCCTCGTTTTGGCAGCTCCTAGCCTCAGCACCACCACACTTCAATCAAGGCTGGCGGGTCTGAAGCCCAGCTCATTTGTTCCAGTGCGATGGGACGTGTAGGCGGTCTTGGGCTTGGGTGAGGATGGTGGCTGCAGATCTGGAGAGCTGAAGGGAGAACTGAGGCATGTGGTTAGAATACATGTTAAAGTTAAAATTGGAAAAGCGCCTTCCCAAACTCTTCAGCCCCTTACTCCTCCAGCTCCTCCTCCAGCTCCACAAGGGCCCTAAGCCCCACTCTATCCCTCCTCTCTCTTTCATCAGTTTCTCCCTCAGCCTACAACACACACAAGTCTCTGGAACCCTGCAGAGCAAGACCTTCCCCGGCCTGTTTGCATTTCTAACTACTGCTTTTTCATCTCCTTCCCCCTCCAAATTTCCAAAATGAGTTTATCTGTGTTTACCTTTCCAGCTCCCACTTCCTGCTCAGTCTGCAGCAATGTGGCTTCATCCTCCACTAGAAGAGTCCTTGTCCGGGTCACCGGTGACTCCTAACTTTGTTGAACCCAATGGCAGTTTGGTCCCTGACTCACCACATCAGCCATACCTCTGGGCTTCCACGGTGCATCTCTCCCTGGGCTCCCCCACCCTCCCATGTGGACTTTTTGTTTTCACCTCAACCTTTGAGTATTCTTTTCTCTGCATCCTTTCTGCTTCCTTTATTGTTGATTCTTGCACTTCCCTTTTGATTTTCAAATCATCCACTCCACGCCAGGCAGCTACGACACCAACACCCAATTCCCTGCCTTCCCTTTGGTGCCCCATGTGTACCTCCAACAGGAACCACCTGACTGGTGGGTATCTTTCCCTGTCCTGTCCTTCTGTCTCAGTTGGTGGTATCATTTGGGAGCCAAGCTAAATGCCTGGGAGTCATTCTTTACACTTTCCTCTCCTTCCACATAAAGTCAGCTCCCAAGCCCTGCCAGTCTGTGGCACAGGTATTTCTGTAACAAGGCCCTTCCTCTAGGTCTCTTTACCACTGTGCTCATTCGGGTAGCACAGCTTGGCCTCTAATCATTTCCCACTCTACTGAGTAATCATTTTACAATATAGAATTATATCATGTCATATTCCCCTGCTTAAAGCCAGTAACATACAGAACATTAAAGATGACTTAGAGAAATGGAAAGACAGCCAGGGTTCATAGATTGGAAGACTTAATACTGATAGGTGGCCAGTCTCCTCAGATTAATCCACAGATTCAAGATAATCTCTATCAAATTCAAGCTACATTTTTTTTTTTTTTGCAGAAATTAATAAACTGAGCAGGACATTGTGGTAGATGCCTGTAGTCCTTGCTACTTAGGAAGCTGAGGCATGAGGATCATGAATTTGGGGCTAACCTGGGCTGCTTGGCAAGACCCTATCTCAAAAATAAAATAAAAAGGGCTGGGGGTACAGCCTAGTGGTAGAGCAGTTGAGCTCTGGATTCCTAGCAGTCGGGGAGAAAGAGAGAGAGAGAGAGAGAGAGAGAGACAGAGAGAGAGAGAGACAGAGATTGGTAAACTGATTCTAAAATTCGTATGGAACAGAGCATGGTGGTGCATGCCTGTAATTCCAGT